AGTTACAACCACTTCCAAAATCATTGATATAATCAGATCTAAAAACACACATATCGGTAATAGTTCAGAGACAGGCATATATAAAATAAATTGCCTAGACTGTTCTTTGCAATACATTGGGAAAACATGCAGAAAAAAAAAAAAATGGACTATGGACACTTATGGAGCTTATAAATAATAATTTAACAAATACACTAGACAGAAATAAATTCAACCACAACTGAAAAAAATGGCACTCATCAAAAGAGAAAGTAATTTACTCAGAAGAAAAATCCTCAAGAGTGCCACCATCGAATGTTATTAAAATATCAATCTATGCCTCATTATTTTTTCAAATCTCACCTTTCCTGAAGGAATTACTACTTTCCCAAGCCAACATACACAACAAATGTGTTGAAAAATCAAAGGAAAATGTCTGAATCCATCATTTCAACTTTTGGAGATGTATAATACAAATGTCCATCTCCTATTTCAATGCAAGAAACTTCTTTTTTGTTTCAAGTATACTAAAGGACACATTCAAAGATCTAAATGCCTATACATTTCAGTTAAGCTGCTATTGAGCATCTTTAAGTTTAAAAATGTCCTTTCAAAGATGCTATATGATGTAATCTAGGATCTAGCACAAATCTTTTCAGTTAAATATTTAGGAGCGTTCTTAAATTTTGAAATTTTAAGTAACTGTTAAATATATACTTGTTGCAAAATAAAACTATCACATTTGCCTTCATAAAGTCCGTCGAATGATGAAATGCATCTGCTAAACTAAGTAGTTTTCCTCTTCTCGTTTCATTCATTTTGTCTCTTCTACAGATATAGTCCATCTGAGAATATTTACACACCCACACATTGTGTGTGTGTGTGTGTGTGTGTAAAAAAATAAACGCTTTATTTTCCCCACTTAAAAAAAAGTTTTGACAATAAACAAAAAAGATGACAAAGAACATTTTTTTGTCTCTATGCATTGTTTATTAAAAAAGGAAAGTTATCTCCCTTTGTTCGGTTGATTCATTTGACAATTCAAATATCCTCTCATTTTTACATTGGATTGTTTAATTTTCACACCAGAGTACTAAAAAGTGTATAAAACAATTTTAATAATTACTTTAATTTCTATTAAACTAAATATACTGAAATGTCTGCAAAGGATTCAGCTGTAGCCTACAATGTGCAATTGTTGTAACTAACCAAACAGCCAAGAATCTCAGATTTCAATACCATTTGATTAAATGGCTCAACATTCAAAAGGATAATGACCATTTTGCATATTATGCCACAAACCTACCACTAGTGAGCTCATTTTCAAAAGTCTACACCCAGCCTACCAATTAATGGTCAATTTTAGCATTATGCATCAGATATACTTAGAAAAAAAAAAAACCATATGGGATATCATTACTCAATATTAAATGGTTTTACATACCAATTTTTATTCAAAAATCTTATATTAAGTGCTTTTCTTACAAGTTTCCTAGTTTTTCTTGCAAACAAAATTGAAATTGATGAGAAGAGCAAAAATACTGACTAATGTGCTCTTTCCAAGAGTATAACTTTCACATCATATTGACTGATTGGACTAGTTTTTTTTTTTAAACAAAAAGCCTAACATTCATTCAGAGTGGTTTTGAGGATTAAATTGTTCTAACATTATTTTTTTGTGAGCGGACAACATGCCAGAAAATGCTCTTTGCATGTTAAGGGGAGGGAGCTAGTCATTCCCTCGACAAACCATGTTTCAGCTTTGATGATAATTACTTGAAAATTATTGGGTCAAGTCAGTCTTTGAACAAAAACTTTGATATCTTTGTTTAAAGATATCACACATTTAAGGCCTTTATCTTTTATCCTCTTTATCCTTTTGTGTGCCATGTCCCTTCAGGACATAGGCAATCATAGCCCTCCACTTCCTCCTGTCCCTTGTAGCTCTTAATAAGTTTTATCTTTTTGTTATTCCTCCCAGATCTTGTTCACACATCCACTTGCTCAAACCTATTACGTATGTCACACGTTGCTTTCTCCTGTCCCTAATTCCCTCTATCCGTCCTGCGAGTATCAGATTTTTTCATTCCTCATTACATATCCCAGAAATTTCAACTGCCTCTTTCTAATGTTAAGTTCCTTCTGTTTCCATTGTCTCTAAAAGCTTGTCATTGCTCACATGCTCAGCCCATGGCATCCTTAGCATCCTTCTGCAGAACCACATTTCTGTTGTTTCAAGTCTCTTCAATCTGGAGATTGTCCAGTATTATTCACTGCCATACAGGAGAACAATATCACATAACAGTTCAGTACACTTTTCTTTGTTTCCAATGAAACTTTCCTGTCTCTTAGTACTCCGCTTAGCTTTTAGAACATGTCTTTGACCATCCCAATACATTTTTGGATTTTAGTGTTGCACTTTCCATCCTCTGTTAGAACACTTGCCAGATATATAAATTTCTGTAACTGCTTCATTTTAGTATCCCTGACTTGTAATTTGCATTTTGGGTTCATCTTTTTGTTGATGACCATGCATTCTGTCTTCTTGTAGTTTATGCTTAGTCCTTTCTTTTCACTCTCCCTCACTACATTCTGTAGGGGGTTTTGTAGTTTCCTTTCTGGGTCTGTTATCAGCACTGTGTCATCTGCATATCTTATATTGTTAAGATTGCGGTTACCAATGGTGAATGCTGGTAGGATTTCTAGTTCTCTCAGAATTGCCTCGCTGTATAGGTTGAATAAGTTCTTGTCTTACATCCCTTTCTATTTTTGTATATCTACTGAACTCATTTTTTATCTGTATGCTGCCAGTAGAGATTTTTGATTATTCTAATGTCTTTCCCAAACATGTCAACATTGCTGAGCAACTCCAACAGATCTTTTTTGTGTACTTTGTCGAATGCCTTTGCATAGTCTATAAAATACAGGTACACATCCTTCTGCATTTGGATTGCTCTTTCTGATAACATTCTGAGCATAGATATTGCGTTCCTTGTTCTGGTGCATTTGATGAACCCGCACTGTTGTTGTCCTATCTCTGGCCTGATTCTGCTGTGTGCACTATTCATCAGAATTTGGATGAGGAGTTTTGTTATATGGCTCACCAGGTTGATTGCTCAGTGGCACTCACATTCATTTGCACCTGCTTTCTTAGGCAGTGCTATGAAAATAAATCTGCTTAGGTCTTCCAGTATATCCCCACTGTTGTAGATTTCATCCATTATTTCTCTAATCTTGTCTGTTGAAATCATCTAAGGCTGCAAGTTGCTTAGTTTCTGTTCAATTTGGCCAGTGCAACTTCCACTTTGGTTTTTAGTAATTCCAGCCCTATTTCTGTGTATTGCTGATTGTTCTCTTTCATTGTGGAAGAGATCTCCAATATATTTGTTCCAGCACTGAAGAATTTTTTCTCTCTCTAATATGAGCATTTCGTCCTTGGATTTTATGCAGCTTGTTGATGAGCATGTCTTCTGTCCTGTTAGTTTCCTTATTTTTTTGATGCATATTTTCTTTATCTGTGATACCCATTCTCTTTATTTCTGAACATTTTTTTTGTTGAACCATTCTTCTTTAGCTTGTCTGCATTTGTTTCTTATTTCATTGTGTAGTTTTCTGTATCCTGTTCCATGTTTTAGCATCATTTTATGTCTCCTTTGCATCTTGCCAAGAATCTCGTCTGTGATCCATTCATTTTTTTCTTTTTCATCAATTCTGGTTTGGGATGACAATATTTGCTAATGTCACAAAAGCTTCTTTTAGCGCGTCCCATTTCAAGTTTCCATTTCCATCATGTTCCTCATATCTTTTCACACTGTCCATATATTTTTCCTTCAAGTTTGGGTTGTTCAGGAGTTTCTTGTATCACAATTTGGGTGCTGCATTAGGCTTCTTCAGTTTCCGTACTTTCATTCTTAGTTTACAAATAACAGGGAGGTGGTCGTAATTGCAGCCAGTACTTGGATAGGTTTTGAAGTGAACAACTGCATTCCTGAAGCTTTTGTTGATAGTTACATTGTTTAAAAAAAAATATCTGTTCTTTAACCACTCTTTCACTCCAAATATATTTTCCAGTAGTGAAAATACAGTGTCAATTGGGGCCAAGCTGTATAAAATTGGTTTGAGGAATGTTCTGATGAATGCTGTTGCCTTCATGTTCATCTGACATTGGCCCAATTGATTATTTATGAAACATGGTGGAGGAGAGGTCTATTCACATGCAATCTTCTATCCCCATAAATAAAGCTTGTAGACTAGATAGCATGGCTCAATACCTCTCCAAGGGTCTTCGAACCACTCATGGAACCAATGCCACATCAAGTATCTGCACTTTGTTGGGTTAGAGTTTCTTACCAGATACTCACTACATACATACAGGGCTGTATCCGTAAACTACTTAGCCTCCCACAATTTTATGCTTTGATCTGAAATGTTGACTTTATGTAATTGTGTGGAGTATGTGAACATAGTGTGGCTTGGGTTTGCCAAAACATGTCATTGACTAGTGAGTGTTACATCCACGACCAAGCAAACCCATTCATCAACTACATATATCCCAACAATGTCAGTTATTGCAAGATAAGGCATGGTAACATTGGAGCCAAACTGACCAGAATTGGTTGGAGAAGCATTCTGAAAAGTTCTGATGATTGCTGTAGCCACTATGCTCACCAGATATCAGCCCAATTGATTATTTATGGAAGATGATGGAGGGGGTCAATTCACACACAAGATTCTATCCCTATAAATAAAGAGCTGCAGACATCTCCTGAGACAGCATGGCTCAACACTTCTCCAAGGGTCTTCCAACCACTTGTAGAATAAATGTCATGTAAAACCACTGCATTACACCAGGTTAGACAGGATCCTACTTGATATTAGGCACTTATCCCATGACTTTTGTTATACCAGTTTATGTTATATAAAGGTAAGTATTATAGGTAATGCAAGAAAATATGCCCGATTTTATTTTTAGTTAGTCTAAAATTAAAGGATAGGATTCATTAGTAAAAAAATAAAATTACCTTCTGGCCAATCTCGTAACCGAATTTCACAGCATGTCAGAGGTGCACCAACACGACCAGTACTCAAATCAGTGACTGCAGAAAAAGAAAATATTAAAAGGCTTATATGTAATCTGAAACATTTAAATCTTCAATATTTTAAAGCATTTTTTTTTACTTTCCAAATCCAAAACAAGAATAATATCTGCTTACTAAGAAACATATTTCCAAACAAAAGAATTACTGCATGAATCATGAATATATTATCAAAATACTTTGTTATTTATTCTTTGAGTACCAGTTTTACTTTTAATTTTTATTCAAGATGAATACCTGGCATACCAACAAAGAATCAACATATATAAAATTCAATGTATATCTATCTATGCAAGCACACAGTGTCACAAAAGACCTGCACTATAAGAAAATATTAATTTACAATCAACATTCAAATGGTTGGCCTTCAGTATTTTTGGGACTCAGTTCATACACAAATTTTGAATTTGACACTCACATGGAAATGATTGTCTGTTTTAGGGTTTGAATTGTTCTCAAATGATTTTCAGAGACAAATGATTGTAATTGACTCCAGAGGAGAAGAATAAATAAAAAACAGTATTAGGTAAGGAGGTATAGGCCATCATTCAACTTCACATCTTCCAAATCATGTTCTTGGAATAGTTTCATCTAATGGTTTCCTCACATTACTAAGTAGCAAAATACAGTGAAATCCAGTTTTGTTGAAACCAGAAAAATAGCAAAAGGAGGACATCCAATACAAGGATAAGAGAAAATTATAACATTAATTTGGAGACACCATGTCTGTGGGTCTTATTTATTATATATATATATATATATATATATATATATATATATATCATTATTTGGACTATTGTCTTCATCTTTGTTGCCATATTTATCACAACGTTTGATTCACAGTACACTCCGGCCTTCTTCAGGTGGTTGGAATGTCGAACTGAACCCTTTATTTCGCTCACTGGAGTAGACTGTTCTAGTTCCACGTGCCATGTTTGATGGATGTAAGCTATCAGTTATCTCCTGTTAATTTTTCCCCTCTGAAAGTTCTCCACTGCCTTAACCAGGTATTGAACTCACACTCTTTGGGTCTTGTCACTAACAACGCCTTTATCCACTGGGCCATGTGTCCATCTGGGTATGAATTTCTGGGTATTATAAACCTAATGTCTTCAACAACCATTTTTACCAGTGCTCATATTGCAATTTTGCTGTTATCATTGCATGTTTTTACCAGAGCTCATATTGCAACTTTGTTGTTATCATTGCTTTTCTCTGGCACTCCTTATTACTGGTTCCCATATTGTATTTATTTCTATGCTTGGTCGGCTCAGGAGATTTTTGTGGTCTAGCATATGTACTGATTCCTTAAGTTTACGAATTTTCCAATGGTGTTCCCTGTCTATGATCTCAACATGATCCCACAGAGGGCAGTGACCTCCCTTCTCTCTCCATATGTGGTCAGCCACGCCTGATTTTTCTACTTCCCCTCGTGTTACAGCTTTCTGGTGTTCTTGAAGCCTTACCTTGAGGGGGCGGGCTGTCTCTCCTTTATATTACTTTCCGCAGCTGCACGGGATAGCGTACACACAATCTTTAGTCATGTTCTCCTCTATTGGGGGGGTCTTACTCGGGAGAGATATCTGCGAAGTGTCGTCAAGCTTTTGAAGATTGTCCTTTGTATTTTCTCTGATAACCCCTTCACATAAGGCAGGCAGACTGTTTTCCGAGTGTTTTTGTCCTCCTCTTGTACCCACCTATCCCAGTTTTTGGGGGCTACTGCCATGTACCCAGGATAGTTGTTATGTTGTAGGGTACTACTTATACTGACCAATTCTTTATCTAACGTCTCTTGGTCGCCACTTATGACTTTTGCTCGATGTTGTAAGCAACGGACGATCCCTTTCTTTACGCTGTATGGGTGGTGGGAGTTGAAATATTGTCCGGTGAATGTCTGTTTACGGTATACGGATGTCTTGAACTCATGCTCTGTTAGAGATATTAGAACATCCAGGAATGGGAGTGTGTTGTTACTCTCTTTCTCCATTGTGAACTGTATCGAAGGTCTTATTGAGTTCACATGGTCCAGTAGAACCTGAACATCTTCCTGGTGTGGCCAGAGTATGAAGGTGTCATCTACGTACCTTAACCATATAGTTGGCTTTAGAGATATAGATTCCAATGCCATTTCCTCAAAGTATTCCATGTATATATTCGCCATTGCTGGTGATAATGGCGAGCCCATTGCTAAGCCCTCATCCTATCAATATATGTGTGATCTCATTCCGAAGTGTGATGTTTGTGTACAGAAAGTCAACATCTCCATCAGATTATCTACTGGAATACTGGTCCGTTCTTCTAGGGATAAGTCAGAGGCCAATCTGTCTGACTACTGAGAGTGCCTCCTCCGTGCGTACCTTGGTGAACAAACTTACCACGTCCAAGCTCGCCATCTGGTTGGATAAGATGGGAGCATATTTGATTATTTACACAAAGTGGGTGGAGTTTCGGACATATGAAGGGGACTTTCCGATCAATGGGTCAATTATATCTACAAGGAAGCAACTCAGAGGGTGGCACACAAAGCCTTGGCAACTAACAATCAGCCTCAGTGGTATTCCACCGTCTTTGTGAATCTTAGGGAGACCGTATATGTGAGGTAGCTTGGTGTATTGGTGTAACGCTGCAATAACTGCCTATACGTCTTAGGTGCGAAGTGATCCTTGTTCTTGATTAGGATCTGTGACAGTTTGCATTCCATTTTCATAGTAGGATCCTTTTTTCACTTTGCTGTAGCTACCATTGCTAATGAGATCTTCTAGTTTTCTTGTATAATCTGATTTGTCCAGCACTACTGTTGCATTACCTTTGTCAGCTGGTAGTATGATGATGTTTTCGTTCCTCTGTAGGGATCCAATCGCTAGCCTCTCCAGTTTTGTTATGTTAGACCTGGGCGGCTTGGCTGTCTCCAAGGTCTGTCTCACTTTCCATCTCAGTTCATCTGCCTGAGCCTGAGGGATGTTCAAGGCCACCTCCCCTTGAGGATTTCTTCAACAGAATTACTAATGAAGAAGACCAGAGAAGGATCCAAAATGACCTGGATAAATCCTTCAGACATGAATTTGATGTAGTCAAGGCTCGCCAAGCGCAAAAATTAAATAGATTGAAAGATCAGAAGGTGATGCACAAGGTCCATTACCCACCAGTGAAAGCCGTAGTCAACATCATTTTCTGTTTGTCATTCTTGCTAAGTAGGTCTAGATGTTTTTTTGGAATTTCTGTAAATAGTTCGGGAATGTTCTTGTTGTATGTTGAGATATATCCTAGAGTTTGTTCGAGGTTGTGTTTCTTTGGATTTTGTAGTTGGCCTAAAGGAATTTTTTTGCAAGTTCAAAACTTTTGCTTATTAGTGTTGTGGGGTAGCCTCATTTTTTTTTTTTAGAGTTTTATGTAGTTCTTTTAAGGGGGTTATTCGGTTTATCAGTCACTATAATACAAAACCTACGTGCTAAAGAATAGGGGATGGATTTCATACAGCTTTTTGGATGATGGCTCTTGAAGAAGATATTGTTGGGTGTGTTGGGTTGTTTTTATTTCTAATGAGTATATCTAAAAATGGTAATTCGTTGAAATTATATTCTTGGGTGAATTTGACTTGGGTGTAAGTTCTGAAATAGAGTGTGGAATTAGTCTAAATTATTTAATGAGACATCTTATATATATATATATATATATATATATCTGATATTGAGCACTTTATTCCATAAATATAGCACACCTTAAGACTATATATATATATATATATATATATATATATATATGTCATGAAGCATGGGAGACTGCTGCTGCTTGTGGCTGACCTCAGTGTCCACTTTTACATACCATACACTCAATCTCTGATATTAAGCACTTTTGCTCATAAATATAGCAAATCTAAAAACTATATTTTAATCTATATTTTAATATATATATATATATATATATATATATATATATAAACAGTTTTCATAGACCACACATATTTCAATCCTTGACAAGTGTAAATGACCCAGTTATGCTTGTAATATATCATCTTTAAACAAGATCTGTGAAAAAAAAAAAAATCTATTTACTTTTTAATAGCAGAAATTACAAAGAAAATAAAATAAAGATTTTTAAAGACTTCACAAAATTCAATATTTCCTGAGAAAACTGTACCTGCTTACATTTTTCAAGAGTGCCATGCTCTGGAAAAGTCTACTTTTTGGGATAAATAGAGCAAGTATATTTCAGCAAAGCTGAAAATCTGATCTTAGTGCCTATTTATCAAGGAACCAACTTCTCCATTTCAATAGAATCATTGATGAATCTATGAGCAGCAAAATTATGTACAGTAGCATTTAACCATTACCACACTGGAGGCGAAAAATTGTCGCCGTAGAATTCTCTCCCATTACAGCTGTAGGCCCATTCTGTCACCTTGAGGCAGTTTCCATAAATAAACACTTGTTAACTTATTTCCAGAATTTTCAGCTCAAAATAGCCTTCTACTGCTTTGGAACAAGGCTAATGCCATTTTGATTTCTAGACTACACAAGGTGTAACATCAATTAAACCCACATTAATTTTTTGTGTTTTTTTTTTTTGTAAATAAAAATGGCTGCATTAACATCCAATGAAACTTTTATTTAGGAGTTTTTCTTTGATTTGGACTTTGATGATGATTTTGAAGGTTTTACTCTCGTGGATATTGATGGTGAAGTGGTCAAAGATGATAACCACCCTAGTGACATTGAGGAAAGCCATGATGACCACTAGCAACTACTATCATCCATGGATGACTAATTTTATGGAAGCTACTGGTTACCATCGATTTATCTGATAGCCTTTCTGAAGGTGAATTATTTCATCTATTAATAAACGACAAAATAACTATTTGTGAATGTGACAAATATGCTAGTCAGGTGAAGGAAAAAAACAAACAAATGCTGGTGTCTTGTATGTAGGAAGCATGTCACTTTTTTGATGAAATGAAAGACTTCTTAGCCATTTTGCTTCTTATTGCATCCCAGAACTCCACAAGGAGTAACAAAAGTATGTTAAATTTTTTTTATTTTGTGTTTCAATTTTGTTTGGTTTACAACATCAAAACATTCATTTATTCTTTTATTAGTATACAAAAAAATCTATACACACACAATAAAAAGAAAGTTATAACAATTTTAAAAACACCAAGGTGTTCAGGTTTTTGCACCCTCAAAAAAAAAAAAAAAAAAAAATCCAGAGGTGGGGAAACAATTCTAGAAAGAATTTAGCATGCTAGAGGTTAATCACTTGAGTAATGTATAGGACTGTATAGCAAGTGGCTTTGTGTGTGTATAACATTTAATAATATTTCCTTTAAATAAACAAGCTTTTTAGTACAATTCAAACTAAATTCTGTGCTTAGAATAAGCCAAATGTTTAATCAAATTCCAAAATATTCAATTTTTATGAAATAAAAGCAAAAGCAAAAAACTTTACTATCTTCAAATAGAGTCAATCATATATCTAAGGTGTCTTCAAAAATTCCTACTACTTTTTTTCTTGTCAAGACAAACCAGCAATTCTCAAACAAATGTGACCCAACTGTGGGTCACAGAATCATTTTAAAGAAAAAAAAAGATAGGTTAAAAGTAAAAAATAATGCAAACATTTACATCCCAATTTTAGAATATAAAGTACCATTGAAATTCCAGAACAGGAAAATAGTTGTGTATATATCACACCTTGATAAATGTATAAAAACTGGCATTTTCCAATCTGTTAATTTACACAGAACTGTAGTATTGTTTTTTTTTTTTTGTTGATGTTTTGGATGACTATTTAATGCACATGATAGATTTACATGGAGTTATGTCTTTCATTTTTGTCAATCAACATAAGAAATAGAAATTTATTGATTAAAAGTAAACATTGGATAAAACAAAATGAAAAAAATGCTTAAATTATGTTTCTGCCTTGAGAGTCACAGTCAAATGTTTGGTAAACTCTGGAAAATTTTGTAAACACCTAATTATCAGTAGAGGATGATGGCTATCTCTTTAATGATAGTTTTGTACAAATTTTCAATAAAAGTTCAAAGAATTTTTAAAGACCAATAAAATGTTTACCTTCCGTAATCGTTCCAGCACCACAGGTCTCTGTCAAGCCATATCCTTGTCCAACAGGGCAACAGAAACAGATATTCATGAACTTCTGTGTTGCTTCTGACAGTGGAGCACCACCACTAAGCATAATTCGGACATGTCCCCCTAAAATGGCTCTCACTTTTTTAAATAAAATTCTACGAAAAGAAAAATACAATCAAGTTTAGAAAAAGGAAACAAGAATAACAAGATTAATGAGAGATTTTTTCAAAATACAAGAAAACCCTGAAATGGTCAGAAATTGAATAAAAATTTTCTAATACTAAAAAATACAAATAGTAAAGCTTGGGAGTCACAGTATGTGTCTTCCAGGATGGAGCACTGCATTCTAACCATAATCCTTTTTCCATTTCTATGTTTGTTCATTATTCAATTTACTGCAGGGATGTCACAACCCCATCCTTTTGTAAAGGGATGGAACTCTTTACTGTAGAACACAGGTGTCATTGTGAGGAGATTTTAGAACATGCAATCTATTTGTCGCATAATGTCCTAGTTTTAGCAAACCAGCAGCAACTACACAAATACAACAAACCAGGTCAGTAAGTGTTAGATAATAGACATTGTTATAGTGGGTTATATCCATGACTAATCACTGCCAGCTGCCATCCATTGCTAACTCGCCCTTCTGCCAGTGAACTAGTGTTGCGTCAGTTTTATACTGTTAACACTAACTGCCAACTTGACAGCCGACTTAGATGTGAAAGAACAAATTGTATTTGTAAAAGTATGCAGTGTTTCATTCCTGAATATCCTTAACATTGGTTTATGGCCATTATTTGTCCAGAGACAAGCTTATTCAGGGAGGAAATCTATAGCAATGACAGAGGTTCAGCCTCCTTCATTAAGTCAAACGATTTCTGCAAAACCCTGGTTAATCTGCTAGGTTTTGGTCGAATTTGTCCAACATCATGTCTACTGACAACCAGTACTCTTACACTGGCTTTTTGTGTTTACCTAGCCTCAGAATATCACTAGTTACCTAAGTGCATATCCACTGCCTCTCCTACTCCGCACAAAGTTTCTAAACATATGGCCAACTATTATGTCAGTAGGTGTGTATTCATGTTCCTCATTATCTCATTGGTCTGGCCTCTTGCTATATGACTGACTACTGCATTTGTAACAACTGGTGCTGCTACATAGATCCACAGTGTACATGCTGAGAGAAGTGACTGTCTCTCTATCATCTTGTATTGGTTGCATAACTAGTCCATCTGCTGTCATCTCACCCTTCATGAGTGTCCAAGCTCAAGCTAGTAGCTGGTTAATGTTTAATGCTTAAAAAAAGCACAAAGCTGCTGCTTCTAAGAGCCCAGTATTTTCAGGCATCTCACCAAACAGCACTGTTAATTCCAGCAGTTCTTCCAGCTATATTCCAATGGATTTTTCTAGGCACGGACACCATACGGATTTTAAAGCTGAAACAAATCAATTGCAAAAGCAGTATGCAAAGCATTTCTTATCTAATTTGTGCATGACCTCTACTCTATGCTCCAATGCTGATAGATGACAAATGCTACTCATTTGTTAAATGCAAAGACAGATTATTCAACAATGGACAGATCAGACACAGGATTGTCAAACTTCAGGATTAACTTTGTCAAATTTGCTGTCATTTTTAGTAAAAATAGCTTTTGGCTTGTAATACTATTCAGCAGCTTCCAATCTTCACTCATCAAGCTAAAATCCAAGTTGCTTGCTCATACATTGTCAATAATTTTATTAAGTGAAGTGATTTGCATATGTGGCAGGCTAACAAATGCAAACCAACCATGTCACACACACTTGTGTTCTCACTTCCTTTAATATGGTGCACAGCAAAAAAATACAAGCCACATGGCAGTCACTTTTTTACTGTCACAGTAGATTGCGACTAACTTCCTCACTACAAGAATTTATCAAATTTTCAAGGAATCTGAACCAAATGTAATATGAACTTAATATGAAGATTTTATTAGTAGTGCTTGTTGTCAACCAAGTGAAAAGAGCCAAAGACTACTTCAAAGGATGTGGAGGAAACTATGCATTTTTTTTTCATTATTATTATTATTATTTACCAATATTCAGGTAGAGCTTCACAAAGTACAAAGACATGTGTTAACAGGATTATCAATAATGTAAACATTTTAAAGTTTTTTTATAGAACTATTGAGACAGAAAAATTTATGGCAATTTTTTAAATGAATTTCAAAGATAATATTTAGATATTTGTCCACAGATTTATACAACCACATTTAGCATTTTGTTCCATCACTTTACCATCTTTGAAGCAACTTCATGATTCCATACCCCTAGAACTTGGCATCTGTCTGATTAACAGATCTAAGTGGTTTGTAAACTTAAAGAGAATTTTGTAACTACAAAGTGTACAAAAAGAAAATTAACCTGTTTACAAATTTATGCTTTTATACTGCCTTATGGTTTTTATTGCCAAATCAAAAATGCGTAAAAGTCATTCAATTAAATTACCTGTTGAATAATGGAGTGTCATAGCCACACTCAAGCCTCCAACCTTTATAAGAATAGGCAAACTCAAACAAGGCCCTGGTCATTTTGCCCTGAGAGTTGATCTTGTCCCACACACTTTTGTACAGTCGATCCATGATCAACTACAAAAAAAAATAAAAGACAAATAAAATGAAATACACAAAAGTGTATATATAACATGCATTTTAAAATATGTGCTCTACATATATGTATGCAGTCAGATCTCAAAGGGACACTTAAATGTACTAATTATTCTTTTGTTTAAAAAATGTTGATATTATGTGATTCCAATATCAAATTGTTAAATTTATGATGGTACAAAGACTGGTATATTTGAATAAATTTCATGACACATTTTACTAAAATTATCTCCCTTATTATAAATATTCTCTAATAGTTGTATGTTCTTAATTCTTCATACAAAGCAATCTTAAGACCAATGATTGACTAAAGTATTTGTACCTTCACATGTTATAGCTTCTGCATCATTGTCTTTTCGAAATAAGCAATTAACAACCAAAATAGTTAAACCTAAAACTTCATCTGAGTTATTCTGAAATTATTTCTGGAACAAAACAATGAAAGTATTAGGATGCGCATAAGTTCTCATTGATTTTTTTTTTTTAAAGCAAAAATGCTAGAAAGCTTTAAATACACAAATCTTGTAAAACTATTAAAGTAATAGTAATAGTTATAAAATATTTTTCTTCTCTCTTCTAACTTAGGGATTATATTCATATTTTCCTTATTTAATCAACAGATTACATATTTAGATTAAATTTGTCTCTTAGGATCTTCATTAACTAATGTAGAAGTATTTTTCGTAGTTTATTTGCAGAACATCTTGAGTCAAATATATAAAATAAGTATTCTTGATTGAACTAAAAATATTTTAGCATCTTGTCATATTTTAGAGAAAAAAAAAAGACTGTTTCTTAAACATTGGCAGCACCAATTTTGTGAGAACAGTGCAAGAACAATGGTTACAATTTTACTGGTTACGTTTTTAACTATTTCTGAGCTAAATGGAGATTTTATGACTCTTGTTGAGGTGGAATAGGTTCTGTATTAACTAGCAAAAATCTTAGCTCTGTAAATAAATATACAAGGAGTGCCAATTTCTCCCAAAATCCAATTTTTTTTTTTTTTTTTTGAGAATGAAGATCTTTTTGGTTTGGTTCAAAACCTTTCAGCATCCCATTGTATAATGTCTATATGCTTTTAAAGAGAGCTTTAGAGATGAAATCTGGCAATTATAGATTCTCTCCTGTTTATATATTTATATATATATATATATATATATATATATATATATATAGAGAGAGAGAGAGAGAGAGAAAGATTTTTATAGGCTGTATAGCAAACTGAATAAAAGAAAAAAAACTTATGATACAATATGCCCTTAATATATAAAACATGCTCCAAAGTGAAACACTAGCAGGGGATTCTTGTTTGGTAAGGGATTTGTAAAGATAAGTAAGTACTGACCGGTACTGCTGCCATGAGTGTTGGCTTCAAAACTGAGGCATCTCCTTTGCAGCCTTTTTTAATTTTGCTAGACTGAAATAAAAATAAACTTCACAGTCAAAGAATGTTCAAGGTATGTAGAGTGTGTGTGTGTGTGTGTGTGTGTGTGTGTGTGTGTGTGTATATGTGAAAAACAAACTTGGTCATAGTGTAATGCTAAACAGAGATATACAAAAATTTGAAGTGGGTAAAAAGTTTGCTATTTTTTTCTCTATCGATATGTTAACTTTTGAAAAAAAAAAAAAAGTACTGGTTCACAATTTTATAGAAAAAATTTGGAAAACTAACAAAAATGCTATGTAGGTAGGTGTGTGTGTGCATAATATATGGCCTGCACATCAAAATTTGCATTTTCCACCAAAATTCAATCTGATTCAACATGACCCAGACTGCTCACTTGTTGCCTTTTATGTAGAAAACACATCACATCAATATTTTACTTGGGGGGGGGGAGTAGACAATTTATAGTCTTCATTTACAAGTTTATTACATTGAAACTAATATAGATAAATCTCAATCAGTGTGACAATTCATAAGGGTCACTGCAGACTTATGAACACAATGATGTTATTCATTGAGGCCTCTTAAAAACTTCTTTTTTTTTTTTTTTTTTTTTTGGAACTTGACTATTTCCATGATATATATTATGTTTATACTATTATTTTTAATCCCAAATTCCCAAACAGGTTTAGTCTCAAAAATTTTGGATAAGAGAATTATTACACATATTTTTGGCAATTTTTTTATTTTTACAATTTAAACAATTCAAATATTTTAATTTAGAGAAGAATTGTTTCAATTATCAATTTATCTATTTTCAAATTTATCATTTTAATAAAACTGTATTACCAATCAGCTTCAATTTTCAAAGAAAACTGAATGCAAGAGGTTAAGATAAACTTATCCAAAGCTCAAGACTGGATGGAGAATATTCTGTGCTTAAAAGTTAGGCCTCACATTTTTCCAATAAATTGAGTAGCTTTTTTTTTTCATTTTAATATTGTCACAAGCAGAGAGAATGAAAGAGTAAATATACTTGAAAATGTTCTATGAATAAAGTTTTCCCATCAAATTATTGAAAACATTATGCAGAGGTGGATAAGTATAAAACATTGAAACTATGGCAAGTTAGGCCCTTTTGTGAACTATGAGAGTTAAAGTGTTTTAACAGTGTAGGAAGGTAGATAGATAAATGTATTGATTATATATCACTTTTTAAGTCTTTCAGGTGAATATCATGAAATGAAAAACCTAAAAAGTAAATCTCACCTGGTCAGTTAGTGTCAGTGCTGAAGAATAACCAATACAGGTACCATGGGCTAAACAAGACAACTCTGCAAGGGAGAAGAAATTTTATATCATCATTAACTTCAAAGTGAACAAAAACAATCCAAACCAATTTATCTGAATTATGATCAAATTCCATTTCTAAGTATTGTGTAGAATTCAAGTCTTGTATCAGAATTTGAAAGAGTGGGAAATTGGTTGCATTATTCAGTTTTGTTTATCAACAACCTAACTGCAGATACAAATACCCAATCTGCATATACAAGGATAGAACAACTTGATGTTAATTTACTTCTCACAAATGATGAAAATTTCTAGAAATACCAAAAGTGGACACTTTTTTTGTAGGTCAGAAATAGTCATCTTTGTCTCAATCTTAATCAACCAAACACATCCAAATCTAGATTTCTAAAATCCCCTTAAGAATAAGATGGTTTTCCAGATTGAGAACTGATTTCTTTTCATGTAAGTCAAGGAAAAAATACATAAATCATTTGTGTTGCGCTTTATTAGGTGCGTGCAGATGTTTCCTTAGCACTCTTTGGTGTCAGGGTGACAGTATAAACTGAAAACACAATAAAAAAAACTTAAAAAAAAAAAGAAGGCTCTTGAATATAATTAATCATTCATTCAGTTAGTGCATTTTGTGAAGCTGTAGTCATCACTCTACTCCATCTCACAATTGTGGTTTATGGTGACATTCAAAGCAGAATAGTGCAATAGCTTGCCAGTTCCTTTTGCACTACGGATGCCGAGATTATGTCAATCCTCCTCTCAGAAGTTAAAGAGGCAAGACAGGTGGTTTGAATTCAGAGTTTTCCTTCTCCTAAACTGGCGATGGTACATGAAGACTGTGTGCTGCTCAGACTACATGGCCTCCATCTTGACCATACAGACAAGATCTAAAGGAATACTGGGCATTACATTTGAGGACGACTTGGCTGCAGGAGTTGCTGAAAAGTTGTCAGTGTTGACAGCCAATCACTTTCAGGGCCTCAATCAGTTTTCTGTCTGGATTTACTGTCATAGTCTTTTCCATGTTTAGATATGTCAGCAAGGAAGCAGAGGTTTAAAATCAGGGTTTTCCTTTCCCTAGATAGACTGCCTTCCCGAGCTATCAAGTTCCATCTAGGTTATGTTGCAACAGTGTTCCACCTCACCCATTGTCCAGCTTGGAGCTGGACTTAATTGTCAAAGGCTATTTGAGACACATGACACACAAGCATAGACAGTGGGAGTTTGTCCCCACTATAATCCCCGGCTAGGACCTTTGAAACATAATGTACTTAAATAAACATTTATATAAAATATATATTATGTATAATCTTAAAAAAAAAAAAATTAAAACTTTAGGTAAACAAAACACTAGAAAGCAAAACAAATTACAAAATAGTACATAGGTAAACAAACAAATAGCAAAAAGTTCGTTCATTTTACAAAATGATAGCAGAAACAAAAAATTAAATTATATATATATATCAGGATTTAAGCGTAAAATAATCTGAGATTATGTAGTCATTACTTGTCACATAATAAAATCATTATTACTGCCTTTTTGACAGTACTAACACCTAAACTATCAAGAGATAAAACATGAACAAGTGTAGAAAATGCAAAGTTGATAAATATATCTTTAGGTAAGCAAAAAAAAAAAAAAAAAAAAAAAAGTAAAATAATAAACAATACATATAACTTAAATAAAATTGCAGGTTATATTAAATTATTATATTACTTTTAAAAAATTAAAAAACAATATTTACATTTTTCAGTTAAACTTAAAATCTGTTAGTTTTGATAAAATACGTCATCTTTCCGCTTCAAGTTCAGAACGCCTTTTTTACTTAGATATAACTAATACACAGGAAAAAAAAAAGGAGACTGCATTTTACACATCTACATTTTCTTTTTTTTTTTTTTTAGTCTCATTATAAGAAAAATGTATATTTTATGTACACAAGGCATGGCTTACCTAGTATGATTTGGTTTGGTTTGGTTTTATGACATATCAACCTCAATGGGTTATTTAATGCCAACAAAATTTTTATTGTTGGTGATATTTTTTTTTAAATCTATTTCTGGTAATATTTTTCCTTCAAAAATTCTATTTCTGGTAAAATTTTCTTTCAAATTTGTATTGCTGGTAATATTTTTTTTCAAAAAATGTACAGCTGGTAATAGATTTTTTTTTTTTCAAAAATATATTGCTGGTAATATTTGTTTTTCAAAAATGCATTGCTGGCAACATTTGGTTTTCAAAAATGTATTGCTGGTAATAATTTTTTACAAAGTATTTCTGGTATTAAAACCTATTTTTACACTTTCATAGTGTTTTGACCCCAGTTACAATTCTATTGAATAAGGTTTCCCATCTTGATTACGCATAACAAATTATGAATTTTTACATGTCCAATTTTTTTTTTTTTTTTTTTATTATATGGGTGAAGTGTCCATTTCTATATACTTCAGACTATTAGCATTTTGTTTTTTGTTATGTTTTGTTCTTTGAACTTCTTTTGTTTCTACTTTCTTGTTTGATTTTGCTCCCTTAGTTTTACCATTCGGTTCTTTTTAATGAACTTTGTCTAGATGATGAGCTGTTCCCTTGTTTGTGATGGGCTAGAGATTTGTCCTATGTCCATTTTCCTTGGTTCTTCAATAATTGTTTTTTTTGGGGTTTTTTTTTTTGTATATTTTCATTCTCTTGAGAATGTTTTGATGTTTCTATTTCTTGGATTTTTTAGGTTTAATAGTTTTGTAGATGTAGACTCATTTTTGTTTGAGGTTGACAGTATAGGGTTTGTTTTCCCATTAGGTTCTTTTAATGATCTTTGTATAGATCATAACCGTTCCCTTGTTTGTGATGGTCTTAAGTTTTGTTCCTCTATATCCATTTCTCTTGATTCTTCACTAAAAGTTGAGTTATTTTTTTTTATGTACCTTTTGATTCTCTTGAGAATGTTTAGCAGTTTCTATTTCTTGGATTTTTGTACTTTGGTTTGGAATTTTCGGATTTAATTGTTTTGTACATGTAGAGACTTTTTTGTTTGAGGTTGATGGGATATCTTGTCTATGGGTGTTTTATTTATAAGTGATATACTACATTTTAGTACTTCGATTAAACTTTTTAATTCATTAATAAGAGTTATAAGATCTTGGCTTCTTAATGCATTGTTTTCTTGGATGACTTTTTGTTGAGTTGATATTTTAGTGATATTTGCATATGATGCTTGAAGTGGCTATTTCCTGGCTTCTTGGAATGAGATATTTTGTATGTATTTTTTTCTAATTATTTCCTTTTTCCAAATGTTACACCCATTGGAATCTGCTGAATGTTTTTCTTTACAGTTTAGACATAAAGGAGGCTTTTCACAAGGTGATTCATCATGCTCAGTTTCCGGTTCCCCATATTTTTGACAGACTGATTTTCTGATACAAACGTTTTGAAGATGACCAAATTTTTGACATTTATGACATCTATGGGGATTAGGAATGTATGGCTCTACCTTGGCTATTGTGTAACCTATCATTTCTTTTGGTAGAGTTGGTTTGTCGAATGTCAAAATATGTGTGTTGGTGTTTAATACCGTGTCATTTCTTTTTACTTTCATTCTTTTAACATCTGGTTTTGCTTTTTCGGGTGTCATCATTTTCAATTTCTTCTTATGAACAAAGTGACAGTTCTGAGCATTTTATTATTCCTTTTGATGAATTAAGAAATTGATGAGGGTAAGCCTTGACTTTATTTTTGTCAATTTGCTTGATTTTTAGCAATTTGTCTTTTTTGGATATCACTTGAATTAATAGTATTATTTTTCTTTATTTTTTTAACAGATTCTAGTTTGATCATGCCTGAAATAATGCTTTGCAACACAAAAGGAGACACTTGATATATCATCCTCTACGGATTCTACAATAATGAAAGTTGGAAATTGATTTTTTCTATTTCATTTTCGCTTTCAGAAGTCTCATATTGTCTCTTGGTTCGCTTATAAGAGATAGCCATATAATTTTAATTTTTGTATTTGCTGTCTGTGCTCCTCACCCACCTCGGAGGTCCTTCTTAAGGGACACTTTCAGGGGGGACTAATCCCATTCACCCTAATCCGCCAAGGCTACACATAGTTGTTATGAGAGTGGATACAAGCACCTGCACTACCCCACCATACCTACCCAAGTATAGTGTGATGTAAGGTTTCGTGGCCCCGTTGAACCCATTATCTATCATCCCAACTAGCCCTTGCCACTATGTGACTAGCCAATTGAAATGGATTGGGCTATTCCATCTGCCCATCTATCCCAGGTAGGGACCGAAGTGACGTGTTGTGGAAACTCCTGGTCATTTTATACCAGATCAGGGGTCACTCAGTCACCAGGACTCCGTCCCCAGGCATCACGAGTCGCCACCCACAGCAAACGGATCGCTCCATTTAAGGGAAATTTTAGTTTTTTGAAATCAGGTTTTATGAATGTACACTTTATATGTTGCAATTTGTGTTGATGGTATTATTATTATGACAAAAATCCCATTCTTACACTTTCCTAGTATTCAGACTCCAGATCAAGGGAGTGGGAAAACTATTTACCCATAGCTGGGAGCCTAATTCGTGCTACCACTCCAGGTCAGGGTAGACCCAGGAACAACAGCAACTAAGTTGCAGTTCCACGCTCCTCAAAACCTCCTGAATAGAGGCCACACTGCTGGATGCAGTTTATCATCATACCCAGGACATTACCTAGTATGAAGCATGTTCAAGGTGTGAGAGGGAATTGGTACATGTGCAGTCAGGAAATAAAGGCATGGGTTGATGCAAGTTCCCTGGCTCCCAAAGTAGTATTGGAAGTTGATGAGAACATAAAGATGCATGTTGACTGTATCCAGATGGAGATTGGCAGCATATAAATCTTGCTGAGCTGGACGTGACATTGAAAGGCGTTAATCTAGTACTCCAATAGAAAGCAACAGTGATGCACCTGCTAACCGATTCAGCATGTGTGCACTGGTACATCTATTACACAATGACCAGGAGGGCAAAGACGTGCACCAAAGCAGCCACAAAGATACTAATAAGACATCAACTCAGCAGTCTGCAGGGGCTTGTCAAAGAATACAGCCTAACCAACAATGTTGCTTTGGTCAAGTCTAGTGCAAACCAGACCGATCATCTCACCAGGTGCTGCAGCAATGACTTGACACATACAGCTGTTGATGATTCTGCCCAAACAATGAATATCCATCAGCAAAGTAGACATCCAAGCACAAAGTACACCCAGTATTTTGCAAGGCAGTTCAATCCTGCAATATCTAAGGCTGCAGTTAAGTGGTGGGATAATGTGAGGCATGTCAGACCATAGACCAGGCTCTGGTACAATGTAAAACTGGGTGGCTAGATATAACAGTATAAAGGTTAGAGGCTTACAGTCACAAATGCGCAACAACTGCCATTTTATGAAATGGACATCACACCTAAGGAAATGTATTAACACCTGCTGCTTACTATATAAGTGGCTACACTGCTTGCTAGCAGGGAGAGGGAACTCTGAATATGATGCTAGTGGTGTGTAGTACAGTTGAGAAAGTGGTTAAGAAGACATAGGCAAAAAAACTCTTCACATTTCATGTGTGTATAATATAAAATTCCTTGGAAATAAAATAGCAAATTAAACAGGAAAGAGATTACAAAAACAAAAACTTACCAGCAGTAAGCTCTAAAACATGTGCCAGTGGCAAGTAACCTATATAGATATCATTAGGACTGAAAAAAGAAAGAAAAACAATCTTGAGATGAACAAATATTTTAAATTTACAAAAAGAAAACCTAAAGGTTTAGGATTTTTTTTATTTTTATTTAAAAGAAGCCTAATTAATTTCCCATTTAGTTAAAAAACAACTATATCTTTTCACTTCCAATAATTTAATAATCAATCAATAAGAAATGCTTTACTTGCAAACAAAAGCAAAAAGTAAGGCTCTGCCAGAATGTAGAGGTTTTGACTCGGCAAGAATTTTTCATTATCAGTCTTCAATATAACATTTTCAGTAGAGGAAAAAAATATGATAAAAAAATATTAAATGCGTCAAATCCAACACTTTCTAAAACTTTCTTACAATAAATAAATCGTCAATACTTTGAATAAAATAATATCAAGTACTGGAAATATTTGTAATAAGATTAAAAGAATATAAATAAAAACATCTACAAATGCTAATACAACAGTTTTAAGAAAATTATCAGAATTAATATTTTAATTCTTTTACATACAATTTTACTGAGAAATGATTGTAGTATTCTTTAATACAGAAAAGAATTATAGTCCTTGTAGACAGAGGTAAGAGTTTTGTATCCAGCTTAATTGTTCATACAAAAATACCAAAAATTAGTGTTCAGTCAACAAAGAATATTTGGAAGGAGAAAAAAAATCAAGTTGACTTTTACTTCCTGAAAGAATCAAATTTCTGTCTAAGATGTAAAGTTTATAGGAGGCAATTGTTTGGATTGGAGAAAAGAGCAGTTTGCATGCACCATGAAATCGCATCATATTCCAAACTCTCCTCTCTGCTGCAGTGCACCAGGAAGCATCAGTGATGTTTATTCCTGGTGTCATTGAAGGAGGGGAGGGTATTTCAGGCCCTCTAAAAACATCCAACACCCTTTCCTAAGTGACCCAAATAAAACTAATCACCTTCCAAGGAATTTGCAAATCTTGGGATGAGCCATTTATTGGTTAGATTCATTTTGGTTTTTCAGCCAATGAAAATTAGTTTTGCAGTTTGTGTGGTCTGTTTGCCTATTTAATGTCACTGACTCGCCCACTACTCCCATTTTCTTTTTTACGGGTAAGTCACTGCCTATTATTTAATATATGTCGCCTCTAAGTGCTGACTTCTATGTTCACTTTTATATTTACACACGCTCTTTCTCTGATATTGAGCACTTTATCCCATAAATATAGCACATCTTAAGACTATATTTCTTTATATATATATATATATATATATATATATATTCCCAGATATGGTCAGCAGAATGAGAACAATTTAACCCAATAGATTAATTAAAGGGTTAAAAGTTAAAAATTCCATGAAGGTTACTCAAATTGACAAGAACCAGAACAAGATGAAAGCCAGAGACAACAATTTCTAAAGCATTGTGATAACAATAAAGATGAGGACAATAGTCCACATGTAAATAATGTACAGATGGTCAAATACTTTGAAGATTTTATCAGAATATTTACTTCTTCCTGTACCCTGGCGAAAATTGGTCTCATCCTTTCAGGAAGTTGTCATTTTTTTTTTTGTCAGTGAATACTGACAAAAAAAAAAAAAAAAACAACTTCCTGAAAGGATGGACAAAGGCTGAAAAATGGATTAGCTAAAAAGTAACAAAAATCACAAGTGTTCAATTGTCCACACAAAATTTGAATTACTTAATATTTGATTTGACCCTTAAAGTGCGTATGATAAGAGTGAAATTTCTGCCTGAGTTATGTGTCAAGAAAAAAAAAATGCCCTAATTTATGAGAGAAAAGAAATCTCATCTCTTACAGAACCGAATATACAGTGTATCATTAAAGGTATTTATATATATATTTTTTTTTTTTTTTAAGTACACATTATCACCTGTCACATTTATTTCACACAAAACATGTTAAGTAGAAAGGATCAGGTGAAAACGTTTCAGTGTATTCAACCTCACAAAACTACAAATTAAAAAAAAAAGAAAAGAGAAAGTTATATTAAATTTTTGCCTTTGTTACTGAGGGTCAGGGTTATGATTGTTGCCTAGAGATCCCATGAGTTTTGGCATGTTGCACAATAGAGAAAAACTGGGAACAAATAATCACATCATGGAATAAAAAATACAACAAATTAAGCACAAATATTGTATTATAAATTTCTTGTGAACAAAAAAAAAAAATAAAAGAATAGAAAAAATAAAAAATAAAATAAATAAATAAAAATAAATAAATTGTGATATTTGAAGCTTTATGGTGACATTTAAAATGCCTGGCTAATATAAGATCATTTTTCAAATGATTTTAAACAGTTTATATGAAGTCAAAAGTATTTTGTTGAGGAATGGGCAAAAAGAACATATAATAAAAAAAAATAGTAAAATTATAATTAGGTTCCACTAGAGAGAGAGATTTCTAGAGTCACTTTTACAATTTTGTATATGTGCTGTAAGTACAAAACTAAGTTAAACTTTTTGGGTACACCAAAATAAGTGTCTGAAATATTACTTTAAAAAAAATAAAATTAAAAAAGCCATATTTAGCCTATTTAGATTGAATGAAATCATTTTTCTCTCTTGCCTTAAAAATGGTTTTGGAGAAGAAAAAAAACAATAAAAGCCTTAAAATAAAAGTACTTGAATTATTGAATATAAATTTATTTCATTAAAATCCATTGCAAAAAGAATTCCAGCTAATAGTTTAATCTAACAACAAAGGTCAACTTTGTAATAAATTTTAGTGCTATTCATCAGTAATTATATCATACTGAGAAAAAAAAGAGTTTAAAAACTTGTATAGTAGCATCCAAACTACTGTAAAACTGATCCTTCTCAATGAGTATATACATTCACATGCTTGTAAAATCTGATATAGTAATGTTGCATACATTTACTTACCCTAATTTGGGTATTCGTTCACATTGGCCAGACATACCAGCCATCAAATTAGCATGGCTGATCACAACACCTGAAAAGAGGAAAAAGAATAAAGATTAAAGTGTGTGTGTGTGTGTGTGATTATATATATATATATATATATATATATATATATATATATATATATATATATATAATTAGTGAGAAAAAGCTTTAACTACTCATTAGAACTGAATTAAAATTCAGTGTGTGTTACCTGACAGGCTAGTACTAAAATCAGTTTGAACCTAGGATACTACATCAGCATTTACCAATTTAATTCCTTAATATCAAGTAATACATATAACCCCCACCACCCACTTACATCACTGATTTACCATTTATTGCAAAAACCAGGTAAACTCTTAACTACAAAAACATCAACTTAATTTAAACTGTAGAAAAAACAGAATCTTAGCTTGGGGCCAGTGCTTGAGAGTTTGATCATTTTTAATATGGCTAAAAATTCTTTTGCAAATGTCAATAAGTTTAGAATTAAAAAATATTGTTCGTAATTTATAGCTTAAACTGAACAAGGGTATTAAATTTCTTATAGCAGAAAAATGAAATAAGTAACAATTTAAAAAAGAAATGCAAAGCATGTCTCAAAATAGGGGTCCTAAATTTATAGTGCTATAACAAAGAAGTTGCCTCCACTGCAAAAAGAATTTGTCTGGCAACAAGCATTGTTTGTAGCAATAAACAATTGATTGCAGCTCAATTTGAACCTGACCCTCACATTAACTCGTTGAACTTGATTTATCCAAGTAGAATGAACACACAATAGACAAGGATGTTGGGAGAGTGACATGATTTGCATATGCTTATGAAAATCTAATCCAAACACCCAAATCAAGTACTTCGGGAGAGAATAAAAGAGCAAACAAGATTGACACTGGCAGTTTGGGAGAAAGGCATTCTTAACGATATTCCTAAGGACAATAAGGGCGAGCAAGAACCTGAGACGAGGCGACAGTGTTTCTTTCCTTTTGTCTTGTACTTCATTTTCTACATCAGGAAACAATCAGCCAAAGAAGCATATATATCATGGCACCAAAATTAGTGAAACCGACTAAGTAACACAAACATATATTACTCATATTTTAACCAATAGACAAATACATGCAAAGTACTGAAAGACACTAAGCAACATGTCGTGATACAATGATACAGCATAAGAAATACAAAATCTACCAACCTTAAAGAATGAACAATTATCTAATATTTCTAACAGATACAAATTATCATTCTGACTGATATTATGATAGCAAGTCACTACATTGCTACAACAATAAATTAATAAAACAACTTAATAATGAAATGATGAAAAACAGTTCATGTTAACAGAGAAACATTAATAAATGCACATAATGGTCATAGCCTAAAATTAATTAAGAAATAGTGACATGTTACAAATAGTATAATCTTATACTTTTAAAATCTGACGAGGTAACATGACACAGATCATTGATATTTTAGCCAATAGACAAATATTGGCAAATTATTAAGACAGAGAAATGCATGTTATGTATGCTACAGAATAAGAAATACCAAATCTATCAACCTTAAAGAATGAACACATAACTAACTTTAAATCAAAGTTCTTCAAAACTATTTTGATTACTCTGACCAAATGTTAATGGCCATTCCAATGTAATCTTAGCTTTTCTTCTAAGGTACTTTAGGATAAGAAGTGGCATAATTAACATTTCTTTTTACTTAAAATTGGTTATATTCATTAAGTATAATTACACAATTAACACTTATTAAAACAGTTCCCTCAAAAACTAACTTCTATAATTAATTTTATATATTAATATGTATAATTATTCCAAATGGCTATGCCTGGAATTACTTGCTTTTGATTACAGATGCTTATATTTATTTATTTATTTATTTTTTAAGAGTGACTGAATAAATAATAAACAAATATTAAGTTTTATATATTGTGAACATTTCAATCCAACTAAATTGAATATAAAGCATTGTTGCTTCTATCAGGAGGACCATAGTGTTTACAATAGACCCAAAGTAAAGGTTTCTTTCATTACATTTCTATGGTTCATGTAGAAGAGAAATTATGCACACACACACAGAGAGGGATAGAGACTCACCTTTGGGCATGCCTGTAGAGCCACTTGTATACATAATCACAGCTACATCCTGCTTCGTAGGTTTTTGTAACTTGAAGTCACCTGTAAATGAAAAAAAAAAAAATTTTCTCCCAATTTAACAATCACTTGCAAATTTAATTCTAAACTAAAATTATTTCATGCATCACTTCAAAATTTCAAGTTAAATACAGGCAGAAAAAATTATTTTTTAAAAACTCATTCTTTATCATCTATCTTTCCTGGAAATAGTCTATATACTTACATTTTGAAAACAGAAAATTATTTTATATATGTTGGGGGAATGGAATGCAGGTGTTGTAATAATAGCCATTCAGAATGAAAAATCATAGAGCAAAGTTTGAATTCCAGTCAAGTACTGTTACATTCACTCATGCATAAATACTCTTGGGAAAGATATCAATCCATCTTCTCCTAGCTATGGATTAAATAGTAGGCCAGAATAGTCTTTATTGGCAACAAAGTTAGGATGACTGTGAATTCAAAACCTGAAGAGTGTCATTTGGAGACCTTGTGCATCAGTTCTCTTGATCCAATTCTCCCATAAAGTGTGGCTGGTTCTGTACAAATCTTCACTACTATAATCAAAGTATGTGCAGATAGAACTGAACTGTTGGACCGACACACACAAAGTGCCAAGCTGAAGTGTGTAAGGAGCTTGAGGATTTCTTGGACATGGTTAATTCTGAAAACACATGGCTAGCTTTTAAAGAATGTGTTTATGACATAAGCCATGGGGTTTTATGTTTTGTAGAGAGGAAACACAAAGATTGGGTTGGCAATGATGATGCAGAAACTGAAGATATTTTGTGAGAGAAACAAAAAACTCATCTGTTTCAAGGTAAACCTGTCACATGATAAAAAAATGTAATTGATGAAATCAAGATAGATTAAACTGTCATATGAATGGTAAATGGTTGAAAATAATGCTGAACAAATACAGGTTGCAACAGACATCAAGGATTCAAAACTCTTAGACAACCTTTTACATCAGGTTTATGGCTCATATAAGAACCCACTTCAAACTTTTATATCTTGTATAAATCCACTTTTTTAAAATAAAGAATTAAGAACTTCCGATAATTCTTATAATTGTACATTAACTTGTGTAATTCCAATGTTAAGAAAATTTTAGAAGTGTCAGTGAAGTTTATTCTTAGTTTCTAAAAAGAAATTTTGAATATAGCCAAAATGGATTCCACATGAAGTTGGAGAAATTAATACTGGTCAGTATTTAAACACTTTTCTTGTTCAACACATAAAAACAAATGTAAAAGTTTTATGTATTACATAATATCAGTGAGATAGCTAGCCAGTGACTCCAAGAACCACTGATTCTATTGCTATGAACAGTTTTGAATTTGTATTCAATTTACTACTAAAGCAAGATACAAAACACAGAAATTTCTTCCATCAGTACTTTCTAAGTGGATCCCCACCTTTCTATGAATTCTATAAGAATGTTAAGAAAAAAAGGAGAGAGAGAAAAAGAAATGATACAAACTTTTGGAAGTCTTGGACCCAATTTGTTCCACTTCTGAAATACTACAAATTTGCACTGATGCTAAGTAACCATCTGATGATATTTTCTTTCCATCATCCATATACACAACACGAGTTACTTTGGGTACTTTAGTTAATACTGCCTGAAAAAGAAAAATGAAGACTGTAAAAATAAGAACAAAAGAGGCCATAGAGAAGAAAATCAAATGGTTAGAGGAGAATTAAAATAATTATTTTATCAGTTTTATAGCTATCTGGTGAATGGCTGAGTGACAAAAAAAAATTTCAAGTGTAGTTTTACTTAAAATTAAAACAAACAAAAATTACAATGTCTGAAAAAGCTAGAACAAATTTTTTTTTTTTTTTGAAAATAAAAGTTAACTTTCAAATATAAGAAAATATTGACAAATTAAAAAATAACAAAAAGAACAAATTAAGTAGTACACTAAAGAATTTTTTATTTTTTTAAAATTGAAAATAAAACAAAGTTTGTAAAGAGAGCAAGGTAAAAGTTTTAAATATATGAAAATAATGACAAATTAAAAAATGCGCAAACTTTGTAAAGAGACAGTTAATTTCGAAAATAAAATTACAATTTAAAAACAAGGCTTTACGGTTATTTCTTAATTTATCAATTTTGTTTTGTTTTATTTATTCATTTTAAATTTTAGTTAAACTACACTTATCAAAAAAAATTAGATTGCTTTACAGTAATGCGTATTGATTTCGGAAACAAACTTATTTAAAGGAAGTAAATAGGCCAAAATTTAAGGTTGCGCCACTGGAAGTACTTGGCACTGATTTAGTGAACATTATGGCAGTAATAGGGGACAAACGATCAACAAGAAGTCCGATTTTTTTCTTGTCGATAACTCCAAAAAAGTAGGTTTCTTCATAATTTAATTGTTAATTTGAGTTCAGGATGAACATTTACACAGAATTATGATGATTTGGGAAAATTTTGAGAGATATTTAGCATGCGGGCATTTGGGCGTTAAAAAGCAAGTTTACCAATAAAAAATAGTTGCCAGTTTCATCTTAATGTTAAATTTTATAAAGTTGGATTTATTTATAAGGGTCATACATAATTGTTTTCTCATAAGCCAGTACCGTACACCAATCATGAATAAGGTTGTTGTAAACAAGAAAAATGAATGAAGATCTTTTTTTTTTATAAATAAATTTGTTTTTATCTAGGGAACACACCTAAATTAGATATTAAAATAGTTCTTAATTTCACTTAAAATGTGTATATTTCCAGATATGTGAGTCTCTAGTGTAAAAGTAAAATTGTTTGTTTTCTACAAATAAAATTATATTTCTATCTAACAAATACAACTAAAATTAGATATTAAAACGAATAAAGTAAGTTTTAATCTCAGTTTTAAATGTGTATATTTTCAAAATTGCAAGTCTTTTTTTTTTTAAACTCAAAGTAAAAATTATTCTTTTTTTTTTACCACTAGTGTTGGGTGGGTGTTCTTCTAAACAAGGAAAATTAATTCATTTTATTTTACAACTATCATTATGGTTTTATCTGGCGAATGCAGTTAAAATGATTAAAATAATTTCTAATTTCAGTTTTGAAATGTGTATCTAAAAAAGAGGAGGTGATACTCACAGATTTGGAAATCTACACATTCTAAAAATGAAATTAAAAGCTTTTAATTATTTTTTAATATTTCATTTTAGTTACAGTATTCGCTAGATAAAAACAAATTTATTTAGAAAAAAAAAAAAAAATAACTCCTTGATTTTCCTTGTTTAGAAATTTATTTGTACAACCCCAATAACAGTTGATTGGCATACCTGAAAAGAATTGCTGTATTTTTAATTATTTTAAACATGAGTTTCATTTTTTGGCTTTTTAAAAGCCACATCCTAAACTAATTTTTGGAGAGCTATACCATTTTCTCTCTCAAAAATGTGTTGTCCAAAGATACAAACAGACATATTTATGTGACGATTTCTTTCGTATTTTACCAATTTGTTAATAAGGTAGTTATTTAATTTATAGTTGACAATTTATTCAAAAGTGTAATAAACGTTAATCCAATTCAGGAATTCTATGACTAAATTACCTTTAAAGCTTAAAAACTCACTTTAAGTGAACAATCCCTACTTTATTACCCACCTCGATCCGCAGTTTTTGGGTTTTCAATTCCAATGGTCTTTAACTCATGTCTATAAATTTTTATTACCCTTGCTTAAAACCAAATATTGACCCCATATGCATCAGTTAACAGACTTCCACAATGGTAAACGTTTATAAAAAAAAAAACTAGAAAAAAAACTAGAAAAAAAACTCAAAAGTCAAAAGGTATATGTGGCATTTATTTTTACGCAACAAGACAGTATTTTCAATAATTTGAAAGTTCCTGGTTGTAGTTTAAGGTGTCTTCTAATTGAGTGTACAATTTCAATAATATTGATAAAAATTGGTCACTCTGATTTTGCGAAATGTAGTAATGTGTAAAATTTAGTCTCAAAAAATCATTTCACATTTTCAGTTGTTCAAAGCAAATACCATTTCAACTCACTGTAAAAAAAATAATTCAATGAATAAAAGCATATACAAATTACATATTTAGAAAGATTATTTAATTTTCTTTCCAGCCATATGAATAATTTTAAGATTGGACTAGAAATACACAAAAAATTGGGAGTTGAACGAACTAAGTTGCAAATTTATCAATCTCAAACAAAATCAAATATTGACTAGAAATGCTATCACTACGCAAGAAAATGAATGGCTTCCTTAGAAAGCAAAAATACTAAATTAAAAATCAAATCGAAAACTGCAGTATCAAGGGAAGAAAAAAAAACTAACTGACATCGAAACACAAATTGCCAAACCAACCATTTTAAATACTTAAAATATTATGTTTAAAGAAAACTGAAATATAAATAATTACTCTACAAACAACTGGACAAATCCAAAGTGGTATATCTCTGTGTTAGTCTTTAACTTAAAAATATTTTAACTAAAAAAATTTTCTATTTGAAGAAAGTTAAAATAAAAATACTTACTGTATAAACTAATCGTATTTTTAAGTCTTATTCACTAAAAATATTTTTTAAATATTTAAAATATTATGTGTTTAAAGAAAGCTAAAATATATATATATATATATATATATATATAAAATTATCAGATTAAGTTAAATCATTATCGGCCAGGGGGCCAACACAATCAGACTTTTAGTATTATACAGATTGTAAAGACCAATCTTTTTGAAAAGTTACAATGTTATCTGGTATTAAACCAGATAACATTGTAACTTTTCATTGTAACTTGTATGATTTCAAAAACTTCTAAGATTATTTAAGTTTAACATATGCAGACACTCAAAAAGTATCTCAAGAGTTTGGTTTATTAACATTATATATAAGAAATAGTTTTAAGGTATGCTATATTTATGGGATAAAGTGGTCACTATCAGAGAGCGTATGTAAATATAAAAGTGAACATTGAAGTCAACACTCAGAGGCAACAGACTGTTAATGCTAAACACAATCACCAGGCCACATGTGTTGTTTTTTCTTGACTACTTATATCGTCTTATATTATCTTATACAAGTAGTCAAGAAAAAAATGCATGTGGCATGATGTTTAGCATCAAACAGTCTGTTGCCTCTGAGCGTTGTCAGTAAGTTATTCCCCTAATGAATGCTCTACAAACATGATCTTGTACCAATATTTTCTCTTTATCCAGTAAATATTTCCATACATCAAAGTCTTGTAGAAAAACAATGAAAATATTTTATTCATTCTTTAAATATTTGACTAGCAAAAATGTAAAAAGACTACATAACAGAATCTTAAAAACCAAGGTGAACTCGCTCATCTGACATCAAATGAATTTTTTAAAAGGCCAAAGGAATTTTATTTTTGTTTTAAAAGAGAAATTACATTGAATTAAACTGGCTAATTTCACCATTATTGAGAAAGAAAGACTGATACCACAGAGGAAGTAACATGTATATAATCGAGAGGAATGTAGAGGATTAGTACACACCCATTTCAAATGTTACATAACCAATAACAGTAAATGTCAAAGAATTTAAAATTCAATAGAGAAAATAAGTTCTATTTTGAATATAGAAAATATAATTCACACCATTCTATTCAGGATTAACATGGCCAACAGACAATGAATTTTTCATGTAAATAATAATTAAAAACAACAACACATCAGTCAGATTGTCAAAATTTGCATCCATCATTCATAATAATGACTCACTATAATAATTTCTTTCCTCCGATATATGATATTCAACATGCAAAAGTCATTAACAATTTCCCCAGGACTATCAAATTTAATGCAATAAGTTTCTAAGCCAAGTCACCATATTTCTTCCTTTTCTACAAATAATTTAGCATGATGAAATACAAACACTAAGAAAACATAATTCACTATTTATATATTTACTAAGATATGTGTAGCTTGGTTTAAAAATTCAAAAGATTGATGGGAATATAGGATAAAAATGACAATTTTAAAGTTCTTTACCTAAGTTATCAGAGGAAAAAACGTTTTTATTCTTTTTTAATTTGATTTAGAATTAGAAAATCCAGTATTACAAAATGTTAAAATTTTTCTACTTTTGATGTTGACTAACAAGAAGTCAATTCAAAACTTAGTAATGAAGTCAAATTCATTACTGGCAATTCTATTTAGACATGCGGTACCTTTTATTACAAAAAACTAAAGTGGGTCATCATAACCCAAGTATAAAAGGAACAAAATTAAAAACAGATTTGAAATTCTGAAACCATAAGCTTCAACTTATACAGTCAAAGATCATTAGTATTTTACTTTGCAATGCATAAAATCTGATAATGTTTTAAAGGTTAACCAAAATAGACAGAGAATTCAGTATGTAAAATTTTAATTACTTGAAAAATGAGGCCAAGCATATCACACTAATGAAATGTATTAGTAAGATTATATATATATATATATATATATATATGAACAGTGAGATTCAACCTGTATGAGGCCAAAGGGCCACTCAAGAGAGGGTTACAAAGTAAGAGGCAGTTTATGTGGGTAAGAATGGAAGATAATGATTAACCCTAGACCTGAACAGGTTAAGATTGTAATGATCAGGGAAACATACACTTGGGAGTTGGTTCCAC